AACATGTACATTGAGATGCCAGTTGGGTTATTGTTCTAAGGGTTAATGACAAAGATTTCCACAACAGTCACGGGGCATAGCGGCAACTTTGTATCCCATTCATGATTTCTGACTTCTTTAAATTGACCCTTTTGGCAATCGTCAGTGGAGTTTGACGCGGCAGTGGCACCAAGGAAAAAGAACGACCCATGTGTCCCATAAGCTAAATTTAAATTGATGGAGACGGGAAATTTAACAATGTCACAAGTTCAGCGCAAACATTTGCGTCGCTGCCATAAACTGGCGTATCAGTTTACCAATTTTCCCCACAGAGCAGTCAGGGTGGTGCCCGCACGCTACATGTTACTGTATCACCCCTCAGCTGCGCGTGGGAACCAGACTGCATTGGTAACTTTTTTACTGAAATTTGGATGTGGCACCAAGGAATGTTAATTATAAATGGTCGTGACATTGCATAAGTTGACCTGCATCACGCGGGCCTGATTAACCTACATGTATGTAGATGTACATGTACATACATGTTCACTGCTCAAAACATTCACATTTTTGCAGTAGGTTACTACTGGAACCTTCGTCGAATTATTGTACCCGAAAGAATATTTAGTGAAGAATTGCGAATTCTTCAACCCTAACCCCCACCCCCTCATCTCCCACCCCCCACCCCCAATCCCCCACCCCACTCCAACCCCACGCCAGCTTTCACCACCACCCCACCCCGCCCTACCGGCCACCACCCCTCTCCCCAGCTCCCAGCACTGCCATAAGCCGGCGTATCAATTTACTGATTTTACCCACAGAGCAGTCAGGGTGGTGCCCGCACGCTACATGTTACTGTATCACCCCTCAGCTGCGCGTGGGAACCGGACTGCATTGGTAACTTTTCACTGAAATTTGGATGTGGCACCGAGGAATGTTAATTACAAATGGTCGTGACATTGCAAAGTTGACCCACGCCAGTTGGGCCTGATTAACCTATGTATAGAAGCATGTTCTACACGTTCGCTGCTCATAACATTCGCATTTTTGCAGTAACAGGGTTGTTATCGGTACCTTTATAGAAATAAATTTTATTGTACCCACAAGAATGTTTTGTGCAAAACTGCAGATTCTTGAACTCAAACCTTCCTTTGAGATCATAGTCTGGTTCCCTGATTGATAATTCCACCCTAACGTCTATAAACTGTAGGTCAAGCAGCCGCCACGGGGCTAAAAATAAACATCATGGCCGCTTTTCAAAGTCGGTTTTGCTTTGACTTTATCATTAAAAGCTTTTCATGTTCCGATCACATTTTTAAAAAAATCACTTGCTTCATATATCATACAGTTTGATATTTCCGTAAGATCAACAGCTGGAATCTTCAAGTTGGGGACCCAATTAGCAAGGGAAGCCAAAAGGAGACGATGCTGAGTTTTGGAATACACCTAGGTAACCGTCGTCAGATTCAAAATACCCCCTCAGATTCGTACCCCTCATACGATCCGAGTGCGTACTTGATGCACAAAGCAACTGGTAGATGATCTGAACAACTGCTAGCACAATACTTTCGCCAATGGCCTCCGTGACAGTGTTGTAGTACTCGTACTCGTACTCGAGTACATTGTTTTGGGACTCGCACTCATGCTCAGACTCAAAAAAATGAACTTGTACTCGTACTCGTAAACGCAAGAAAAAATTTACCTGTACTCGACTTTGTACTCATGACAAAGTACTTGTACTTGTACTCTTGCAAATGTTCTCCTGCAAGAATTTTAAAAAAATTAAGAGCTAGGTGCAGGAAATTAGAAAAAGAACCAGTTTTCTACTGTTTGGGAAGCTTCTGTATTTGGTGAATGCCTAGTTTGACAGTGAAAAGCCCTTGAAAACTTGAACACGTGACACATTGAAATTTGCTCCTACTTGTGGAAGTGCTTATACTCGTATTCTTACTCATATTTGTACTCAAGGACATTTTTTGGTACTCTTACTCGTACTCGTACTCATGACAAAGTACTCGTACTCATGGTAAAGTACTTGTACTCATGGCAAAGTACCTGTACTCATGGCAAGGTACTCATAGTCATGGCAAAGTACTCGTACTCATGGCAAAGTACTCATACTCATAGCAAAGTACTCGTACTCATGGCAAACTACTCGTACTCATGGCAAAGTACTCGTACTCATGGCAAAGTACTCATACTTCTGGCAAAGTCTCGTACTCGTCATGGAAATGTACTAGAGTAATACTGCTTCGTGATAGAATAGATAGCATTGATAGATTGGTCTGTACTGGAGGAATCATGATCAGGAAGTTTTCTCATCAAAAAATGCCTTGGGAATCAATTCTAGGGTTATTTTCAAAGGAACTAGCTGACAAACTTGAGATACCATACTTGGAGGAGAATGCTATATATATATACACTACTGTATGAGAACAGGGGTGGATCCAGGAATTTTTGCAGGGTGGGGTTTTTATCGGCAAAAAAAATCTGAAATGTAGACACGTTTTGACATTATTACTAGCAACAGAATTTTGGGTGTCGGAGCAGGGGGGGGGTTTCGCATTTTTTTTCATGAATTTATATGGAAACAAAAAAAATGTTGACGGAGCTGGGGGGGATTTGACCCCCCCCCCCCCCTCTGGATCCGCGCCTGGAGAATGGTGCCTTCTTTTGACCAGATTAGTTTGGCCTTTGCAAAAATACTTGCCTCTACATGTAACTCTGTACAAAGCATGTTCAGTGGTAGGAATATCCCTGTAAAAGTGAGATTTTACATATTTAATGGCTTCTGAATCATTAAAAGTCTTCACATAAACCTTTCATGGCATTGTATCTTGATAACTAATCAAAATGAGAAAACAAATTCAATCCCCAATTGAAAGCTTTAAGGTGGAAGAATTTTTTTTACAAACTCTCACTAGCAACAGGACCAAGAGGCTACAAGTTAAAAAAAAAACCTCTAAATTTTGCAGCCATCAGAATTTATGGAGACACTGAAATGCTCTGTATGTATAGGGTCAGAGTGATGATAGATTTATGGAGGGAAAGCCAAGCTGCAGAGCATGTTTTGACCTGAAAACAATTTTACAAGGCGTTATCAAATTAAACTTAACGAAGCTGGTGTGTTGTGATGGTGTAACATTTCCGGATCACATTCTACAAATACGTTATCCACCCCGAAAAGTTCTTTAAAAGCATGATGAGCAGATGTTCATTCCCATTGGTTGGGTGTATAAAATAAAAAGAATGTAAACTTTAAAAAGTGACAGACACTTCACGTGATTTCATGAACTGCAAGAAAATATGTGTTGAACCGATTGTTTGAAGGTGAACGAATGTTATTTGCATCAATTACAAACTTTTCCGGGCGACAAACAGCAGGCATGCAACTTTTTCTTCGGATCAGCTGATTTCCTTGTTTTTCACCTCACGCTTATGCCATTAAAAATTGGAAAACACTGTACAAATAAGTCTTGTAAGATTGGAATTTCCTCTTGTTACGTTAATTGCAAGTTGCATGCCTGAAAAACAAGGCAAGCCTCAGAAAGCTGGTATTAGAACGCACACACATTTATTCAGTTGATTCCGAATGGCTATTCACTGGAAACCTTTCATGCATCTGGTCCACACATGGGCCAGATTTAGCCTATTCATTGGTGTAAGGGATTACGCATACAACAGCACTGCCCAGCTCACAAGTGACAGTCAATGAGTCAGTCAGTGAAGCCCTTTTCACACTAGACAAATCTCGGGGTTGACGCAGGGTTGACGCAGGGTTGACGCAGGGTTGAAAACATGCATCGTTTCACACTTGAAGAATTTCAACCCTGTGTCAACCCTGTGTCAACCCCGAGATTGATTTCGCCCCAGGTTGAACTCAACCCTGCTCCAGACCAGGGTTGAGATTTTCAACCCGGGTTGAAATTCTTGCCAGGGTTCAAAACAGTAGTAACTGAGCATGATAAGCTTGATTTGCATGAAACAAGTGTGAAACGATGTGGGGTTGAACGCGGGGTTGAAAAATCAAAAACTCAACCCGGGGCGGCACTGGGTTCGCCCAGGGTTGAGTTCAACCCGGATTGAGAGGCTCTAGTGTGAAAAGGGCTTGATGAGATAGGTGCAAAGCGGACACTCGGCCAGCCCTCTGGGACCAGCAGAAATCTATAAATAAATGTCCCTATAAAGCACTAGACAGTAAAAACCCTGACATTGCGGGGAGTAATTCATGACCAGATGGCTGATCATTGGCTCGGCTCCCACCACGGTGTCCCACATTTCCCTCGTGGTAAATTACACAATGTCGATCCCTCACCTCCCCCTTTGATCTTGACCCAGTGATTTGATTTCACATCTTGGCGCCAGTTTCCACACCACCAACCCTTCAGCTGGAATCAGTGACAGAAAGTTTTCTGAAAATGACTAAAGTGGAGGGGGTGGGTCGTGTGGGGGGGGGGGGGGTTACTTCTGCCTCTATCAAGTTCTGTTAAACAATGTTACTAGTTATGAAATACTCTCTGATCGTGAAGAGTAAAGAGTGGTCGATTACAAAATAGACTGGTTACCCGAGCTTGTCACCGGAACAACCTTTAGCATGTATGTTTAACCACTCCCCAAACTAGGCGTGATTATGGCCCACAATGCATACATTCATATTGAAATTAATTTACACAAAAAAATACACAGTTTCTTAAATCCTTTTCCGTGGGAACGATATGGACGCCCCACAACATTAGTTTCGATGTCAAACTTGGACAGGGTACTTATTAGAAAGAAAATTGAGGGACACGTTGGCTATGTCTCCAAGGTGCCCAGACAATTTAGTTTTTCAATTCGACCCACCACAGACCATCTGGACGCTCACATTTGCTGGAGGTGTGCACTATAAAACATTTCTAAAGCCCAGTTGCAATTTTGTTGAGGTGGGAACATCATGCAGGAAATGCAAGAGGAAAACTGGAAGTGTAAAGAATTGTGTTCATGATGCGGGTTCTTTCTAACACTACTCTTGTTTTGCTTCACAGGATGAGGAAGACGGCATTTGGGCTTAGACGCTTTCTTAACATCCGCAGAACCCGCCTTGCCACATTGCACAGGTGAATAACATACACATTAACAGCGATGACCCCCCACCCCAACACTCCTCCCCAACACCCCCCTCAACACTCCCCTCAGCACCCCTCAACACCACCCCCCCCCCCCCCCAGCACTCCTCACCACCCCCTCACCAACCATCACCAACCCTGAACACCCCCAACACATCCAACACCCCCGCCCGGCTCCATCACCCCCCCCCCCCCACACCCTACCTAAGCCCTCCCCCCAATGTCCCCCCCCCCCAACATCCCCAACTTCCCCAACACCCTTATCACACCCCAACACCCCCATCACAACCCAAACACTCCCCCCCCCCCAATCACTCCCCAACATTCTTCATCTCCCAAACCCTCTTTAAAGTACTCATTCTGGAGCTTATTGTAGTTCATCCTTTTTGTAGCGTTTTTTTGCAAATCACCTTGAGCCATCCCAATCCTTGCACCTGAACATTCCCATCTTAATTGCCCATCTTGTCATGCTGGCCTGAGAATGATGGACAAATTGCTGCAGCCTTTTTTTTTATGCATGCAATTTTCCTGCGCAACCCCTGGCTGGATTCCTGTTTGCAGTGTAAATGCCTGCAGATGCATGTTGTTCATTGGTTGTACGCAATTTGACATTGGGACAGGTTCTCAAATTGTGCATTTTTTTTTACTATGCATTGGTCCAAAAGATGGAATTTTTGCGTCAGGGTGATGTAAATCAAATAGGTTTTGCCCTTCAGTGGTAAGACATCTGCACTAGAAAGCAGGAGGTCGTGGGTTCAAGTCCCACCCGAGTGATTTTTTCCAACTTTCATTCGGGAGGTAACACACTGAGTATATAGTGTATATACGACGGTGAAGGGCAAAACCTAATTTGACTATGAATATAGCGGAATCCGCCGACCAGAATTAGAAGCCATTACTGTGGTGCCGTGCTCACGTGGATGGGCTGGGAATTCTTACGGGTTGAAAACAGTCACTTGATCAATTTGACTGCAAGGACAACTTGGCACGGAATGTATGTTTGCACAGGAGGGTTAACAGACAGAATTTTACAGTGGCTTTTTGTTTTGTCATATTCTGTGAGTTCTTTTCCGGCAGCCCTGTTATTTTCTGAGTCTTTTGGTACATGTAGGCCTAGATCTGTTTTGAAAGATTATCACAAACTGATGCCTGGTTGGTATCTGTAAGGGCATTTGTATATTTGTACAATGTTCATGTACATGCGGGCATTAAAAAAATAACTCCAAAGTCTGTCTAAAACATAAATGTCAAAACACCAAACTATACATGCATTCCATAACCGATCGCGACATTCTTGTCTTGAACTTGTCCAGTATGGTGCCAACCCTGAACCAGTTCTGCGTCTTTCTCCAGCAATTTATGGCCAAAAAATTGTCCGTCTGTTTTCTCTAAAAATAGAAAATAGAATTCCTGGCTCCGACACAAATTTCTAAGCAATTTTGTTTTCCCATAAAGGATGAAGCTATCATAAGCATTGCATGTAATCACACAGTCACCAACAAGTTCTGTGTCAGTGAACTGGGCACTTGGAAGTTCCAGATTCATGTTCCGGAAAATATGACTTTTATGGTAAATAGTATGATAAATCTGTTGGCAAGATAGTAAAAGTAGTTGTTCAAATACAAATATTTTCCCAGTTCCTTCACCGCAAAATAATTCATTTGTCTGAGCCTGCCACCAAGTGAATCAATGAGGTTTGGCACGGCTCCTATATCCAAAGAGTTCAGCAAATTTGTCTCAATTCTGAGAACTCGAAGTGACTTATAGATACCAAAAAGTTGCCAGTTCCGGAATATGTTTAGGATTTGTTATTAAGATGTTAGTTGTTTTTATCCTTTTTTTCTTTAGGTTGGAGGGTGGGGGTCTGACCTGCTTAGCCCAATTTTACCCCCTCTATAAATTTTATGTATTCAAGTGACGGGAGTACCTCTGGAAAGGAAGTTTTTTAACATTAAAAACTTGGCGATAGTTTATTTCAGCTCTGATAAATTGCTGGAAAGCTGTTATTAAAGCTACATGATATCTGGTGGTAAAGTGAAAAGTGAGACTACTTTTTCCTTTCTTAAGGCTTAGTGACAGATCATTTTACAGGCATGAGATTTTTCAGACTTTTGTCTGAAATCAGACTTTTTGAATCCGAGAGAAAGACATTATCAGTATGGAAAGAAAAGCATCTTACAGACCTATTGTCCAATTTTGAGACTTTTTTTTAAGTTGACAATCTCATCAGTGATTTTAAGATGTAAGACCTGCGAGTGTTTTGAATGGTATCTCAAATTTTGAAAGTATACAATTTATGACAATTTCCCTTCTGCAAATGTGTGCGCTTTACTTTCGTGTAATGCAGAAAACAAACGATCAAGATTGATTTTATGAAAAGTTCCTAGTTTTGTTAAGGGGGTGCTGCTATGGTGATTTACCATGATGCAGTAATAAAATTCATTGAGAATTTACGTGTACAGGGTGGTGCAAAAAGAAGGAAACCCACTTTTGACAGGAATTTTAACCTACCTAACTTATTTGAACTGTTTTTTTGTTTTTGTTTTTTTTTGTAATTAAGTGAAGTATAGCTCTTCAACCATCCGTGGTGAAAAAATCTTTTCAAAAAATCGCAAGAATAGTGATATTATGCTTATTTGAATACAAGTCACCAAAAGTACTGTTGTCCACATATAAGTCTAATGTAGTGTTTTTTGGTCTTCAAATCAATCTCCAGAGCTCAGTAAAGCAGTAATGGAATAAAGCCGTCGGTGAACAAACAGGTTTGGCACATGACATTTTTAAACTACCATATCTCAGAGACAAAATATGCATTTGCAATCATTTTTTCAGATCAATATTTTAATACCATTAAATTGAATTTTTGAAATATGCTCAACAAGTAGGTAAAAATTGCTGTCAAAAGTGGGTTTCCTGCTTTTGCACTACCCTAGGCCTGTATTCAGTAACTCCACCCCTCCTTAAAGTAAGCAGTTCGTGAGAGAAGAAATCCACAGTCCCTATCCATTCCCATCCCATATTTGTGTTGCCGTTTCCTCCCCACCAAATTATCACCAGCGGGTAATTCTTTAAGGGGCAGAAGGGCTTTAGTGTAGGCTGGGAATGTTGCTATGGCATGCATGTTGTCGCTATGGCATGTTATGTGCAGTATGTTTCTCTTTGAGACCCCACCACCTGATTGGTGTGAAGTGTTGCCGTGTTGATACAGTTGTTTGTCTTGTCATCGATGCTCCCAACGCTTGGGGGCTTTCTGTCTCTCTTGAAAGTCTTACTTTTTTTTAACGGAATGGAGCAGGTGGGAGGAGGGGTCTTTGAAGGGAGGGGGCAGCAAATTTGTCAGTAGGGCAAAAACAGCCCCCACTCCCAGGCCATTGTTGCCCCCAACCTCACTCCCCCCCCCCCTAATAGAATCTTTAGTCTATTTTCATACAGGAAATAGTTTACCTTTTTTTTTTACGATGCACCTTTAAGTAATATCTGGAAAGGTACCAGAGGTCGTCACGACATTGCTGGAAAGTGCAGAATTTTTGTTTGCACATTTTCTGAAACGAAGCAAAAAATCTCAAATATCGCTGTTATGTTGATACTGAACTCCTTTGGGAGGAAAGACAAGCATATTTTGTTCAGTTTACTTCGTGGCTGTTATTTATGCATAAACAGTCTCAAGCATGTTTGCCTCTTGGCAGTTTGAGTTTTCTTCTTGATGATTTGTTTCATTCTCACAATGACACAATGAAACCTCTTGCCCATGGTGCTCTGTTGCCTTATTATCATGGAATATGCTCAAACTGTCTTTCTCTGGTTGTACCTCTTAACCGAACCCTTTGGACGCACTATACGCTTCTCCATCCATGCACATCCATGTAGAGGCCTACAGTCATTCATGGGCGTCACCAGGATTTTTTTCTAGAGGGGGGCAAAGCCCATTTCCCCCCCCCCCCAAATCCCTATAGTTTCCAGCATTTTTCCGATAGATCATTTTTTCAAGGTGGGCGGGGACATTTGCCCCCCCCCCCACCCATGAAATTAACAACAATATGATTTCGCGCCTCTTTTTCTTTCTTTTTTTCTTCTTTTTTTTTTCCTCTTTTTTTTTGTTTGTTTTGGCTTGTCGGGGGGGGGGGGGGGGGGCAAGTGCCCCCCTTGCCTTCCCCCTTGCGACGCCCATGCAGTCATTGTTCCCAAAGCAAATTCTAGGAGGTGTTCTTCCAGTTTCTTTCCATGCACCGCCTCACTCTGGAACTCCTCACTCTGGTTTCCTGTTTTCCCATTGATCGTAGTCTGTCCCAGTTCAAGCATAAACATCAAAACTTATCTTTCTGCTGGAAGTGTTTTCTTTTCTTTTTTCTTAGTTTCCTTTTTGTATCCCTTCTTTGTGTAGTCATCACCTAGAATGTACACTTACTTACATGTAAGTAGGGCCTTGTGACGGCAACTCTCATTAAAAATATGATATTAATTGTGCACTTATGGTGCGCGACTGGACGAGTATACTAGATACTGACCATTCATGATGTTCACACACAGAATCACATACTTGTAATCAGATAGGCCTACAATCACATACAATAGTCTCCAGAAATCTTCATTAAGTTTGGTTGGCATTGATACATTTTAGAGAACAGAACTGACATACAATGTACATGTAATTGTGTTGAAGATAACCATTTTTTGACGACCTACAATCCAAATCTGGCTGGGCCCCCAACCCCCCAGCCCCGGCTCAATGTTGTCTCTCATTGCGCGGTGTGTGCTCTATCCGCTGAAGAGAACAACATTGACCGGGGGAGCGGGGGAGTTGGTGACCGTTGGAGACTAAGGTTATTTCCAAGTGTCCCAACCATTTTGGCCGGGATTGTAGGCCCATTGTTTTTCTCTGCTAACAGAGCCTCTGTCAATTTCATGGAGACCATATTTAGCAGTAAGCATAGAAAAAGCTGTGCTTTCCTCAAAGGAAAAAGTTGCTTCAAGTAGTGATGTAGCAATAGAAA